TATATTATATTATTTATAATATTTATTATATAATTTTAGACAACTGACACGTGAAGTTATAAATGGAAATTTATCTGGATATGAAGTAGCACAAATGGATAATATCTTAAACACAACTTTAATTCAAACAGATAATCCTTCTTCATCTAATTCTCAAGAAGATAATAATAATAACAATACTAATAATGATGATTCAAGATCTGAATCAAGTAATACTCAAAATAATAGAGAACATATACGAATTTCTAATATTTTGATTTCTCAAAAAATATCTATGAATGTGAATTTACTCAATAATGATTCTTGATTTCAAAAATATGCATATCATAAGATAATATGTTAATCAAGTGCCTCATTTATATAAAGCAACATTAATTTTTTTTTTTTACATAGAATTAAATAATTAAAAAATAATTTTAATGAACATTAAAAACTATAAAAATAATAAATATTTTAATATACAATTAAATATCCATTATTTAGGCCATAATATTTTAGAATAATAATTCATTTAAAAAATAAATAGTAATTGATATTTAAAATAAAAGCTAAACTCTGTTCTAGTCAATAAATCTTAATAATATTGACTGCTAATAAAATGAAATAATTTTTTTATTTTATTAAATATATGTTTGAAAAATAATTTTAAAAATAATTTCATTTTTCTTTTCATATCAAATGAAAGTTTGTATTTTTCAAAATAATATAAGTTATATCAGCATTATGGCCTTATATATTTCTTATGTCTTACTTATTTCATTTAATTTTTGTTTTTCTACTTATTTTTTAAAGAAATTCAAAGATAAGTAGAATTTTAGAATTTAATCTAATGTCAATGATTGTTTATAAATTTTTTCTCTATTTTTAAGTATTAAATGATAAGTTTTTAATATTTTTTATTAATAAAATTATTAATAAAAAATATCAAATTCTTTTTTATATATTATATAAAAATATTATTATATTAATCATTTTATTTTAAATATATTGCATGATAATCCTTTAAATTTGAATTTTGATTTATAGATTGCTCAATATTTTGCAATATTTATTAATAAAATTTATTTGTTTCTTATTCTTTAAAATTGTATTATTTGATTTATATGTTGAACAAAAATTTTTAATATAATTTAATATAAAGGATTTCTAAAAGAGNGAATGAAGTGAATTTTAAATATATGCAATCACTTACAAAGTACTTCTATTATAATAAAACTTTTATTTTAATAAATATATAATTTAATAAAAAATAAAATTTATTTTTATTTTTAAAAATATATAATTTTTTTTAATCTTTAATAATTAATAAATTTAAAATATAAAAACTTTTATTCGGTGATATTGTTAGTTTTTAATTTGTTATAGGATTAAAGTTTTTTTATATAAATATAAAATATTCATTTTCGTAATTATAATTTTTTTGTTTTGGAGCATACCAATAATATTTAAATAAATTAATAATCTTACTTATTATTACCTATTATTATCTATTATCATAAGCGAGATAAAATAGAATTATCATCTCATAAAACTTTACATTTCAAGTTCTTTTGCTTTATGATTTAAAACAATGGATTTGAATAAATTATATTTAATTTTTTCCAAAATTGATAAAGTCTAAAAAATTAAAATTCCAAACATAACATTATAAAATTCCAATTTATTTATTTTAGAAAACCATTAATTTCTTATTTTTTTATCTATCACATTTTATTTAATTTTTTTTCTAATTCTTTTTATATTTTAGTTCTTGTCAAGTAAAATTAAAAAAAATCAATTTTAATTTTAAATAACTTTAATAAAATTTCAAAAAATATTTAAGTATAATCCAATATTGATAAGACTATTGTTTAAATTCGATTTAAAATACCATCTATTGTAACTTTATGTAATCCTCATTTACTAATATATATATATTTAGTTACTTATTGTTTATAATATAAATAAAATGTTTATACTAATTATTAATTTAGCATTGAATAATAATATTTATTAATATTATAAGTTATTTTATTTAATTGAATATTAATTGAATATCACACAAGGAAAAAATTACCAAAAAATTATTTTAACAAAAGTTATCTAGAACTACTTTTTAGTTATTTATTATAAAAAAAAAATATTAATCTATTTGTATCAAAAAATCAGAAGATATTTTAATTTAATATTTATAAAAATCATATGAAAAAAAAGAGAGTATAGATAGTGGAATATCATTGTGTGTTTACTATTGTCTTTCATATAATAAATTTTGCAAATTTTAAATTAAAATATCTTCTAGAAATCTTCTAAATCAAATTTTTCAATATAAATAAATTATTATAGGCATAATATAATTATTTTTTTTACACCAACTGATAAGAAATTTATGAAGTTCATTTTTTTAAATAAATTATATATTTTTTTTAGTGGATACATTAAATTATTCTTTATAAAAACTTATTAAATATTTGATAAAATAATTTTTTAATATAGTTAAATATTTAATTTTTATAGATAATAATTTTAAAAAAATATATTGATTATATATATTGATATATATTAAAAAATATATGATTCCATTTAAAAAACAAATGATTTTGATCTTCATAAATTTTAAACTATTTAATTTTTATCCAAATTTAAATATGAAAAATAAATGAAATATTTCATATAACATTATTTAAAATATAACATTATTATAATATATAAATGCAGCATATTATTATACAATATATTATTCTTTATAAAAAAATAAACTAATAATTTTCTTTCAATAATTTTTCAAGTTATATGCTCTCATATTTTTTTTATAAAAAAATATCGAGATATTAACTTATATATATATATATTTAAAATATAAAATTGAGATTTGCAAATTTTTTATGTAGTTACTTACAATAAAAATTAATAATATTACAATTTAATTTTCTTGAATTGTTTCAATTTTTATCTGAAACACTTTTTAATTTTAAACTATGAAGAATAAATAAGATATTCTGAATAATAAAGTTATACGAGATATCCAATACTTTTATATATATAAGAATTATGACTATGGCGGTAAGTAATTATATCAATTAAAATCACAAAAATTGTTAAAATTAAGAAATTTAAAAAATTAATTAATTTTAGTATTTAATTTATATTAATTAATTTAATATTACTTAAATTATATATATAAATTATATAAATTATTTTTTTATAATCCTTTTTAATTTTAAATATATTTTAAATATATTTATTAAATGAATTCATATTTTTTTAATTACTTAATAATAAATAATATTAAACATGATAATTAATTAATAATAAACAAACACATATATGAATCTGAGTGCAAAAATAAAATAATCTAAAATAAATCTTATAGTATAAATATAATCAAACAGAAAAAAAAATAAATGTAAGATAAAAATTGATTTAATTTTATTATTATTTTTTTCTCTTTATTATTTTCTCTTTATTATTTTCTTTAGAAATACTTAATTATATCAATAATCTATAACAAATATTTTATCAACTTTTGACTAAATTGAATATTTTTATAAATTGAATTCCTGTACTCATTATAAACAAAATATATTATATCTATTTTGTAACAAAGTCAGAGAAAACATAGAATATAATGTTAAAATAGAAAATATATAAATAATTTATATATTTATTTTATATATATATATATTTATTTATTTAATAAGCTACAAAAATATAATGTTAAAATAATTCTAGTTTTATTCAATAATCGATGTTCGTAATATGTATCACAATTTTCTCAACAATATTATTTGCATAACAAAAATTTTTCTATATTGAATAGTAACTGTTTGTTACACATAAGTATTTTTTACTTGACTTGGTTTTTATTATAATTATAATAATTATTTCATATTCGTGGTTATTATTTATAAGCAGAAGACTTAAATCAAAATCAAACTTCTAAGTCGTTAGCAATCAAATTTGGAAAGTCATCAAAAAAGAAATACCAAATCAAAGAAATTGATCTATTCTTATTCTATCTAATCTATGATATAACTATTGCAAAATTTAATTACAACTCCTGTCATCGCTGTTATTTAATTTTATTGTAAATACAAATATAATAATGATGCATAACACATTAGAATTTCATTAGAATAATTTTCGCAGCATTGTTATTTTATTCCATTCTAAATTAATAATATCGTATGTGCACGAAAATGATAACGAAGACTTCATTATATATTATAAAAATTGAATGATAAATCTGTTCTACATTTATTCTATGCTAATATGTTCTTTAATAAAATGAAATTTTATTATTGGTAGCAATGCATAGTGCTATTTCAAATTTAGTGAATGAAAATAACTAATAATAGAATTTTATATTTATAGATATTTAATTGAATATATTATTGAGAATATTAATGCAAACATAATAATGAATGATATAATAATATTTAAAGAAAAACATATAAATATTACGGATTCACAAGTAAAAGATTTATTGCAAAATCAGATTCAGTTAATCGATCATGTTAAGAATAAACAAAATCAACATTGCAATGGTAATTTATTACATTATTATATGTATTTGCATGTTATTTGTATACATATTAAAGATACAAAAGATATTTTTTTTAGAAGATGAAATAAAAATCAAAGATTTAACATTAAAAATAACCTCTATGCGAGAGAATCTTCAATCCAAAAAACAAACGTTGGAATATAAAAATAATCTTTTATCTAAACATTTGGATCATGTGGTAATTTTTATGTATTTTTTGATATATAGAATTTTTTCTTTCACTGACTTTAATAAAAAATTAAAATTTAATATTTTTGAAGACGGAGATAAAAGAAGAAAAAGATAAATTTTTGAAAGAATATCAACTATTAGAATTGCAAAGAAATAAACTCAAAATATGTAAGCGAAATTTACAAGATCAAGAATTATTAGATAAAGGGAGGTTTGTGTAAACTTATTAGTACTTTATTATTCTTTTATTATATATTATATATTATATTCTTATATTATATAAATGTTATAATTTTTTTTAAATTATAGAAGAAAATTTTTATTATATAAAGCATTAACAGGAATACGATGGGATTATGAAAAACTTAAAGAAACTATTACAGGATGTATCCTTTTTAATATAAAATTTATTATTTAATTCATATAATCATATTTATATTCTTAATAATAATATTAGATATATTACATAAAAATTATATTCATCATTTTTCTTATATAAATGAAGAGAATACAAAAGATATAAATAATCTTTTATGGCAAGAAATATATAAATCTATATTTCAAAAAGAGAATAATGAAATATGTAATAAAGAAAATATTGTAGAAAATAAAGAACTATAACATAAAATAAATTTTCATTTAATAATAATTGTTTATTAATTTATGAAATTATGATTATAACATTTTTATTTATTGTTATAATTATAATAAACGAAAATGAAAAAACATCCAAATCTTTTTAATTTATTTTGTTGATTAAAGATTAAATTATTATATTATCTTTCATGTTATTATCAAATAAAATTAATTTATATTTTTTTTTTAATTTTA